CGGCCCCAGCTGTAGTTGCTTCTTCTCTGTCTTTGTGATGGTTGAAATCCAATGCAGCAAGTTGATTCCTGGCACGGTACACTGGAAATCTACAGATAAACAAGTTTTACTACCATTACTGCATATTTTAATTAAAGTATACAATATGTACAATGTAATGTAAAGCTAATTTTTCTCCCTGGGAAAAAGGTATATTTTCCAAATAGTTTACTTGCCCGAATACTTATGAGTATGCATGACGTTTGGGAGCATACATCAAAATAACATTATGGAATGACTCTAAAAAACCAGTGTGTCTAAAAAATTTAGAAAATGGAAAAAAAAATTGTGAAAAATTAGTTGAATTCTAATGCAAATGCTGCATTCTTATTCAGTAATTCAAACATAAGGAACCTGATTATACCTGAAATTTGTGTAGTACACAAGTGTGTTCAGGAAGCGAGTATCCATGACAATCTTGATGAGTGCTTTGAGTGCAGGGGATCCTTTCTCCAACCAGGGTTTATTTCGCTTAATGGATCATGGCCACATTTTCCTGTATTACCACCTTCTTCCATTATCCACTCATGCTCATTAGCAATGTGATGTAATATCCCTGTCCATTTATCCTATTAAAAATTGCAACCCAACCTCATTCTTAATGCCATTTAAAAGTTTTGCCAGTCAGTTCACCTTGTATATACTGTAGCAGTGTAGCTCAATGTTTTGTGGTTGTAGATATTCAACTACAGTAAGTTGTGTACATACCATTGAACAATGAAGACCCTGCGAATGCTCAGGCCGATTAATGCTTGGCTCTTGCTTTGCTCTGCCCACGCTTGACTTGATATGTCCGCGCGTGTTGCGCGCGATAACACATATCTAGCGTGTTGCCATTTCAGTGCATTTTGGCGTTCGAATGAAACTGAAATTCAATAAATACGAGCTCTAGGATTATGTTAGATTATAGCAACAAGCAGGGATGAGTAAACTGTTAGTTTTTCTTCTGCAATTGGCCGTTGTATAGTATAATATATTATATGCGATATGCGGCGACCTTTGAACTTTGATATATAATATAATATATAATATATAAAGCTCGCTATTGCGGGTTTTTATGTTTGAATTATTCAACATCGATTTGTGTATCCTTTTTATTTTCCTACGCACAGAAAAATATTTGAAATACAAATAAGTACCCAGCATATGGATGGTTCAAACTTTTTTGGGGTGGTGATGTTTAAGTGTAGACTCTTAAGGGCGCAATAAATGTTGTTGTTGAAATATAATATCCTTTCATATAAAGACTCAGACAAGTGTCGAATATTCTGCTAAATATATAAACGAACATATGTACTTATCATATTGTACTTCTGTATATATTATTCTCTCTGTTCCTTGCATATTATTTGAATGCACTACTTACTAGTTGCAAACGGTTTGTTAGTCATTTTATAATATTTCTATATTTGTATTTCATATTTTGTTTCACAGCAGGGGCCTATATTAATATAATGATCATGGCGTGCGCGAATTCATCACGCAAAAAACGCGTTGGACTTGCGGGCACATAAGACAATGTTAATGTGGGTCGTTAATAAGTAGATATTGTCCAGAGTACAGCTAACTTTGGTCCTACAATTAGACTTGTAAGCATTGTAATCTGGAATGGTCGTTTTAGTGCAAATTATATTGACATTGTCCGAGACATTGTTGTATTCACAGCAACATTTTCATATCTGTGGCATAATCTTTAAGTTTCTAATTAGTACATTGCAGTATATGAGTAAAAGGTTCTGTGATAATATTTTTGTACATATCAATGAATGTTTAGTGTGCCCACAAGCCGTGTTTTAAAACATAAAGTTAATTTCCATTATCACCGCCTATATCTTGTCACATGACCAGTTTCCATAGAAACCAAATAGTTGAAAAACATCGGCAGTTGATTTCCAACATCACACCCAAAAATGAGAGTCATAGTGTACTTTGTTAATTTTTAATTAATTTTTAAAGATTTTTCCTATTTTCCCACTCCTTACGAAATTGGAGCCAGGCATTAATGCACCTGAGTGTGGGAATGATGTTGATATCAACCTACAGTATATTATTTACTGACCTTACAATGCATGTCCATTTTACATGAAAAAATGGTTTATGGAAGATCTTACCTTTATGATCCATCATTATTACAGGTCTTTGAACAGTACCAGAAATGATTCCTGATAGATGGTGCCCACAACTTCAGTTGCTCATTATTTTTAGCTTTGGCCACCTAAAAACAAAGCATATACAGTACTTAAACACAACACTGTTAAATAGTATACAGCTGTTTTAGCATATCTTAATATACCGTACATTAAATTTGCATTTAGCTTGAGTAACTTATTACTCAAATTATTTCAAGGTATAGAATAAATAATTGCAGGGACCACTGAGTATTTTCCTAATGCACAGAACAATAGTTACTCGGATTTTATATATATGTACAGTATCTTATGAAAATGGCATGTAGTAAAACACTGACTACCGGAACACCACCGGAACACCACCTAACCCTAACCCTAACCCCAACCCCAACCCTAACCCCCAACCATAACCCTAATCCTAACCCCAAACCCTAATCCTAACCCTAACCCCAAACAAAATGGTGGTGTTCCGGTGTTCCGGTGGTGTTCCGGTGTTCCGGTAGTCAGTGTTTTACTACATGCCTATGAAAATACTTGGTTTTATTGTATTGTTTCTGTAATACCATATACTGTAATTGTTCTTTTACTTTTATATACTTAGCTGAGTTTGGACCATATAATTTGATCAAATACTTACATCATTAACTTTTTTCGCAATGATTTTTCCACCATGCCATACATTGATGATGGCCAAATGATGGCCAACATTTCGATACTTTTCTGCCTTTTCTAATATACAAGAGACAATGAGTAGTACAATCATGAAATACACAGTAAAAAGTACAAACTGCAGTGAAAAGAGGCCAGGAAGTAGTGGAAAGAATTACAGGAATCACTCAGTATTTTAAGAAAATACAAAAAACAGTAACTCCGAATAACATTTGATTTTTAATATACGTTTCGAATAGTTTGTAGTCATCCTCAGGATTAATAATCAAAATGTTATTCAGAGTTACTGTTTTTTTGGTGGAAAGAGTTTGCCAACTTTTATATGTTGGTTTAATTCATGTAGAAACAGAGTTGGACAAGGAATTCTTGAGATATCAATAAACATTGGTTGTTGCTTGGATGACGTATCAATTTGTCATTTGACAAAGTTGACACTTACTCATCACTGATGCAATCTCAAGGTGACCATCTGTAACAACCTCTTTGACGATTATTGGTGATTCCATGTGAAGTGCATCCATCCCTCTTTCAAACCCAATTCTCTCCATGTTGTTGCTCTTTCCAGAGGCTTCCCTTACATCCACAACATTCATTTGGAGGATAGCGTTATCTTGCATATCTGCCAGGCTGTAGGTGCAATATTGGGCAGAATGACCAGGAGAGTCATTCCTTCCATCTCCACTCAATATGACATCTTTACCAGCCTTTTCACTCCAAAGTTGTTGCTTATGTTGTTCCCAGAACTCATGGATTGTAGGGATGATGTACAACTTCTGATACTCGTTGAACAGTGTAGATGAAAAATACTGCAGATTACAGAAGTTGAACATCAGCCCTACTTTGGTATATGAGTTACCTGACAACAACACAGCAGATGAAAGTATCAGATTTCCTGCTCTGATCTTGTTACAAGATGGTTGAGCTGCCCATCTCCCACCAACATGCCCAGACGGACACTTCCAGGATACCACAAGGCATGTTCCCACATAGATTTTATGATAAACCAAGGGACGACCACAATCTTGTCATTTACAGACACTCCCATGTAGAGATGTGATGTAGATGTAGAGATCACAACTTCTACGGTCGAGACACACAGATGTAATGTAACTGGTTGGCTGGATCCGCCTTCTTCAATCCCATCATCAGGCTCATCTCCATCATGTGCATTGATAGTTACATTGAGCAAGTCATCTACCAATGGTTGATCAAAACCAGGATCAAATGATCTAAAATTTCAGGTATACAAGTATGTGCTATATATGGTATAGTTATGTATTGATAACATGGATTTACTGTCGTTCCAATTGAAGTGTTGCTCAAATATTGATTAAATACATTACCTCGGGCTGACCAATTCATTTGATCAAGTTCCTCGAGATATTCATACACTTCCTGTGAAAGAGTCAATTCCAAGTATTTGATCATTTCTGGTCACTTCCTTTCTATTTATGATTGGTTAGTTGCACAAACAACAAAGGTGATTGGTGCATTCAAACTATTGAACAGGAAGTTTACAATTATACTAGGAAGTCTATGAATATCTCGAGGAACTCAATGAAATGAATTGGTCAGCCCAAGGTAATGTATTGAATCAATATTTGAGCAACACTTCAATTGGAACGACAGTAATATATTTCTAAAGAATTCTTGACTTACCAATAAAATAATTTTAATGCCTGTAATAAATTTGTATTAATAAGTCATCAATGTCACCTTCACTTTCTTCACTATCACTTTTCATGCCAGGAGAACTTGCACTCAAGGTCTCTTCACTTATGGGATATATGGGTCAGATCTAATAAGTAAAAATATACAGTAAAGCTATATAGCAGGAAATTATTGGTTAAAGATACGGTACAGTCCAGTCTGCACATGCACACATAGGAGTCTCATGCCGTGATATAAACACTTTAATTAGGTTTTTATTTCATTTTATGTTCTTGCAAAGCCTGATTGTTGTATCTTGATCATTGATTATACTGTACAAGCATGAAAATATAAATAGTTGTTGAATAAAGTTCAATATTTTGAATACCGAAATGTAAACAAAGGCTTTGTTTACATACAGAGTGTACCCTAACTTTAACAGTAATTTTTCATTGTTTGTTTGCATTTGTTCGAACAATGAGATGTGATGATAGAGTTGAGACTCAAATTACCGGAAAGACTTTGCAGACAATGTTGAAATTGTATCCACAGACAAGCACCGCCGACTTCTTGTAGTTGTAGTGCTTGGTGTTGAACTATCAACTAGATAAAAGAACATCCTAGTTACATTTGCTTGTCATATGTGTTCATGAGCATCATGTAAACGTGTTTTAATTTAATAATTACGGCAACAACAATATCTTACCAGGAAGGGGGAAATCATGTTCATTCCTGCTTCTGGTCGGAGTTGTCACTGACTTATCGCTTGACAATGTCCTCGCCTCATCCGTTTGAATCTCTGCGTCGCTAAAATATGCAAATATATTTATCAATACAGTACATAGCTATATATGATACGAATTTAAAGCTCAAATGTTTTCTTGTCTCATGTCTTATCATCACACACCAAACGTTCAGATTCCTTGCCATGTACCGATCAAGCAGCATGTTCGCAACATCCCTGTCAGTTTCTATGCCATTTTCTTCTTTGAACGCTCTCCACCGAGGAAAGCTATCAAGCAGATATACTCTTGAAGCATTCCTATCAAAATAGTCTTTTCTACTTGCCATTTGGCCTCAATATAAAGTATTTTGAGAATCAATTCCAGTTGAAAGCAGTCAAGCTATTCGTTTACGCTCCTCACGCTGCTGCACAGAAAATGCGCGTGTTATTGACACGTTTGAGACTGGACCGAGCACAAACAGAGGATGACAACTTCCTGTGTCCCCACATAAACAAAAGTCCAGTGCATGCGCAGATGCAACTGTAACCTACTTTTAATATATAAATTTTCTTTTTGAAAGGTTTCTTAGGGCAGTTGCATATCGGCAAGTAGTGAAGCTTGTGTGGGGCTATACCAGCAGTTCAAGAAGGTACCCCCTTCCTTCTGTGCATATGCCAAGATACGGTTTCTGTCTTGTTTATGTGAACAATGTTGTATCTTGCAGAGTTAATATTTTTTTAAAACACTGACATCATGCTTGAAAGTATGATAGTAGTAAAAAACTGTCCAGAATTTCCAGAGGTGGGGGAAACAAGCTGTCTGTGACAGTTAGAAAAATCTAGAGGGATGGGGGTTCATAATTATGTAAATCTCTTCCTTTAGGGGGAGGGGGGGATTGCCTAGAAACTACACATTGAATTACTTACTCTGGTTGACTCTTTTTCCTTTTGGTATACAGAGTGGTGTAATTTGGCAGCCTTTTATTCAATATTTCAAACAACCAGTATAATGTTTTCAATGTTTCAAACACCCAACGTTTCAAACAACCAGTATTCCTTACAAGGTTAACATAAACAACAGTGAGCCAGGACACATTTACACCTATGGACCATTGTATACAATTGAAGTATATTTCCCACAACTTTATGCAAAGTAATATGTTTTCTTATGTGAGTCAGAGTTACAATTTGGCAACACAGTAATCTTTAAGCCATCTCTCATTGAAGACGTTTCGTGCAATAACGGACATGACAATAATATTTTATGAGAAGACCAGTAACCATTTGTTTTGTTTTACATGGCCATCACATGTTTTATGTCACAAATATAACCAAAACGTAAATACAATCCAAAACGTACCAGGTGTCAGTTGAGGTTTTCCCAGACACTGTTCTTGCTCTCTCCATAGTTATGCTCTCTCTCAGTTATAGTACTCTTCATGTATTATGTTTCTTCAGTGACAAGAGCTTCGACTGAAGTATCATAGGCCTCGCACAAATCCACACTTTTCTCCATATTTACGTCACCCCCACTATCACAAGAAACGTCTTCGGCAAAAGAGAGTTCACAAGATGATTGTGTTGCAAAATTTGAGCGGTGACTTTCGTCAGAAGACATAATTTTCAACAAAAAACAGCCTAGTATAAGCCTTTGATAATATTAATTTCTTCTTCGTGAAAGCAGCGTGTTGAGTAAATGACGTCACATCCGGCTAAGAAATTGACACCTCGCTAATTGATAACTCTGTAATGGCAGCTGAAAAATGTGCGTGTTTGCATTGAAAAAAAAAGGCAGAGAGAAATGGAATTGGATGCTGATATTTGGTAACTTTGTTTATCTACTGATATACTTTCTGAATACACAATAAAAAGACAGCACAATTTTCCATCGCAGTGGCACTTGAGAGGATGTAAGGTTTAATACCGGGTGGCCCAAAAAAAAGTACTCCTGTTTGATTCGTAATAACATCTAAACAAGTATAGCTTTTAAAGAGAAATAACTTGCATCAAATAGAGGAAGGACTAACTTAGACTTTGATATATTACAGTTGTATTTCACTTAAAAATTCACGGGGATATTAATCTTTAAATTCGGGAGGATATTTCTGGATGTGTCTGAAATATGCAAAAATCGGCGTATCAAATATTAATCAAGATTTGCCCGACTGAAACATGCACTATTACCAGTAAATAAATGACACTTGACAAATTGCTTATTATGAAACAAAGTATTATTATATCTACAAAATACAAGCAAGATTCATTCGTCCGAAATTCGCGTGTGTTCCTAGCACGAATACGTTTCCTTATTTCATGAGACCAATGCATCGCGAAGGATCGTCATTGGATCGTTCGTAGTTCTGAATTAGGGCATGCTGTCACAACGGAATTGTGAAGCTCTTCTAACTTCTGCAACGTTCTGAAATCTTGCTAAGAACACCCAAACTCTTTTGCCGTTTCTTAATCTTGGCAAGTTCATGGAGTAAACTGAGAATTATATGAAACACAATCAAACCATACAACTCCATAAGACATAACAATTAAGCAACTCCCCAGAGACATGCAACATTTTTGGAACAAAACGCAACAAAATAGTAGCGTTGATACGGTGATGTGTATTTGCAAAAAGCAATATTATTTCCTTCAATAAAGAATATTCATCCTGCTCTAACCGAGAAATAATCTACTCAGTCTGTTTGAACCCATTAAAAACATAAAAAATTAGGCTATTTAAGAATACGAAAAATTTAAGCGCCTGCCTTCCATGGTCAGTCTTTCATGTACATTTAAGTTTGCAAAGACCTAATATTAAATACTTGCATAATTTCGAACGTTCATATTTCAGGAAACAATGAGCTAAGACTTACATGTAAGATGTGTAAATCTACGCCATATCCCTTACAAACCTTAACGATAATTCGCTGAAATACAAGTTAGCCTAATATGTCATTAAGCAAACAAACGCTGGAGTTAATATTTGATATGCCGATTTTCGCTAATTTTAGACACATTCCAAAATATGCTCCCCATTTTTAACATTAATATCTCCGTGAATTTTTAAGTTAAATACAACTGTAATATGTCAAAATCTAAGTTAGTCCTTCCTCTATTTAATGCAAGTTATTTCTCTTTAAAAACTTTACTTGTTTAGAAGTTATTACGAATCAAACAGGAGTACTTTTTTTTGGGCCACCCGGTATATATACACAAGTCCACCTAATACACAAGTCCACCTTGTGTAGTATAGGATAGAATATTATTATAGACTTATTGTGTCACTGATGAAGCCCTAACCGGCGAAACGTCTGACAAACTTATTAAAGTTTTTTAAGCTTACTTTTGCCTGAAAAAATTACATGTATTACCAACACCCAGCATATATATATATATATATATATATATATATATATATATATATATATATATATATATATATATATATATATATATATATATATATATATATATATATATATATATATATATATATATATTAAAAATATATATTATTATATATTATTATATATTATTATTATATATATATATATATATATATACATATACATATACATATACATATACATATACATATATATATATATATATATATATATATATATATATATATATATATATATATATATATATATATATATATATATATATATATATTGCAGCTGTTCCTGGTTAGATCTAATAAATGTATATAAAATGTATCAGAAGGTGCCTATATACAGTACCTATACCAAATTTTAATAATAATATACCTGGAAATTCAGTTGAAAGTAAATGCTTTTGTACCAATGGGATAAAGTGACTGGACTTGAACTTTACCAAATCCTGAAAGGTAACTTTACCACATTTTGCCCAGAAAAAAAACTTGGGTGGTGCATTATCCTTGCATACTCTTGGCTTACGAATACCATGATACAAATGACGAATCTGAATATAGGACAAAAAATATTGAGGTGACCATATTAACGAGATGGCCATACACAGGGTTCCACTGTAATGGACGTAATGGCTCTTGAAAATATTATAATTTAATTGCAAATACACACGCAAGAGGGTGGGGGATTTGAAGCTTTTAGAATTTATTTATCCCCAGGGGATTGGGTATGGATTAGTAATGAGCCAGTTGTCAATTTCAGCTGTTCATTTCAAGTGGTGTTTTATCATCTAGTGAGTATTATCTTTGCTTTGTGTGCTTCTGACAAAGCTTTTTTTTCAAATACAATTTATAGTAGTTCATTGCAATCCATACATAATTATTTGACATTTGGAGCCTTTGATAGTCCCCACTCCCCAGGATGTGGAACATTTGCAAATATTAGAACAAAGTCAAATATCCACCTGGGGGGGGGGCAGGGTTTACATTGACTCATGCATAAAGGCCGGTGCATTTGTGCACATTGCCAGTCAATGGGTAAATAAAGTGTACATACTGAGGCTATAAATGTGTGGATTTCTGGATTCTTACCACTTGTTTTCAAATAGTCTATGCTAATGTAATTCCCATTCAAAACAGGACTGCTGATATTACAAATTATCTAAAACTATAAAACTGGTCATCTCATATTGTATCACTTTGCCAAGGGTGGTATTCATGGCAGTTGGATTTTATGTTAGGTGTCACTTGCCCAATGGCATACACAGCAATATTTTGTAACAATATTCTTGAAAATAATGTATATACTGTATATTCAATTAATATAAAACGACTAAAAAAATAAATTTTAGTCACCTCTGGAGTTGTTTCAGGATAAACACTCATGATGCTTCTCTGAATGACTGATCCCAGTGCAAGTATGTGCCAATCAGACGGCTGTGATCGCAGCTTACAAGTCGCAATAACTTCGTTTTGGAAAACCATGTCCATCGCTTGTTCTGACAACATTGACCTTTCTCCATCCGCTATGCTAATCTGCTTTACGACTCGTTGTACAATCTCTTCAGACAAGTAAAACTCCTTAAATAAGGTCATCTCCACGACACAACGCACTCGCAACTCATTATGTCTTTCTTCGTTGCCAAAGACTAGCGTTGAGAATGACCGAAAACAGTCGGAATAAACCGAATAATCAGTCGCCTCTAATGGCACATATTCTGCAAACTCCTGCGGTAAATATTGGAGCGCGAAAAAATCGACCTTAAACTTATCATAGTATTCTTTCCACATGCATTTTCCAATAACATTATTAATTTCCTGGCAATAACTTTTGAGCCCATCAAATCCCTTATCACACACATTTCCCAACTCGTTTAAAATAATGTTATAATCAAAAGAAT